ATAGTTTCATGTTTTCCAAAATTGACAAATAAAGCAACAGTGTATAATATATTTAACTTAAAATCAACTTGTGTTTATAATAATAAGATCAACAATATCCTCAATTAATCTAGATAGATGCAAAAGTTGATTTTTTGCAAACACTATTATATCTAATTATCAGACATAACATTGCATACATATAACATTTGCAGTTTCATATATTCCAAGATTGAAAAACTAAAGCAGCAAGATATATGTAATATATAGAATTTAAAATCAATTTATAATAAGACTAACAATAATAATATACTCTATTAAGATCAATACTAGATTAATACTATGCACCAATACTAGATCAATATAAAAGTTGATTTTTCTTTCTCTGCAAATAACCACATATTTATATCTAATTATCAAATATAATATTGCGTTGCAAATATACGTATGACATTTGCAGTTTTTCAAGATTGACAAACTAAGACAGCAGTGTGTAATATATTTAATTTAAAATCAACTCGTGTTCAAAATAATAAGCCAACAATAATAATATTCATCATTGATCTTGGTAGATGCAAAAGTTGATTTTTTCCAAACAATCACCTTCATATCTAATTTTCAGACATAACGTTGCATACATATGCCATTTGCAGTTTCATGTATTTCAAGATTGAAGAACTTAAAGCAGCAAAGTGTGTGACATATTTAGCTTAAAGTCAACCTGTGTTCATAATAATAATAGCAATATCTTCCATTAATCTTGGTAGATGCAAAAGTTGGTTCTTTCCAAACAACCACCTGCTATCAGAGAGTTTACCAATCATTGAGCCATCAGATGTATCAACACACTGTACCACTTGTATATATACAATTCCAATTTGAGGTGGGTCAGACATAATCATCAGGATGGACATTGGGGAGTAATAAAATTAAAACAAATTTACGAGTTAGACAGGGCTCACGACGGGCGCACGGAAGAAGGGGGTGTGGCACGACAAGTATTGTCTGCTTGCCGTGTTATGTAATTAGGCGCGTTTTCCACGTGACCATACGAAGAATGGCGCGCCAGAGTCGCAGGTACAATCGATATAGGAAAACGACGGGACGGCGACGAGGAGCCGACGCGTCCTTGAACAGGTGCATTGGTCTCGCGAGAGGAGCTCTATATGTCGAGAAAAACAGTTGTCTCGAACGGCTAATTCAATGGCGCCGGGCCCCTCCGCTCGCGAGAAGATCAATAACAGCGCGCGGCGATACGTCGAGAGCAGGAGCGCAGAAAGATGCACGGCGAACGTAGCGGTTGGTTCCAGGGTTGGCATACGCGCACAGAACGGCCCTGACAAAGGAAATCGACGAAACTCACGCGATACGTCCAACCGATTCGGCATTATCGCTCCGATCGACGGTGCGCAGAATTAACGCGTGACGTTCCCGATATCAACGGTCCGCGAACTGCTCCTGCATGACACGACGATGATACGACATACGAAAAAACAACGTACGTACCGGATTCGCAGAGTCTCGTCGTCGTCGAGTCGGTGTGACAAGTGTGGCAGGTGCGACGGGCTGTACGCCGCAGAGAATTCAAAGGATCTCGTAAGCTGGACGCTGCTCGCCGACGAAACCGTCAGACACCATTGTGACCTCTCACGTGATGACAATCGTGTGCTGCTGCCTTGCGACTCACTCTACAACTAAACCGTAAACCAAACGCACTGTGCCGTCAGCTGACTCGGCGCTCGACGACGGAACAGTGTCGCCAACCGGCCGCCGTTCGATTAAAGAGCTGTCTACAATGGAATTAGCAGTAAGACATAAAGGCCATTCTACAATAGCTGTAAGAATATGGCTGTAAGGCTGTAAGACTCGAAATGAATTATTTTCATTCGCTGACAGCTCATGTTATAGCCTTACAGCCATATTCTTACAGTTATTGTAGAATGGCCTTAATGCGAGATTCACACCGCGTCCAATGTCCGACGTACGACATCCGATATCCAATAAAAGAATAGCCTTTCAATGAAGAATTGAATTCTATATTAGAAAACTTCTCCTATTGGATATCGGACGTCGTACGTCGAACATCGGACGCGGTGTGAATCTTACATAAATTACAGACTGGGCAAGGAGCTGTAGGTTCAATTTCATAAACATAGAAAAAATCTGTTCTTTCCAGTTGCATTGTTGCACTGATACAATAAGTTAGAGTGAGATAAAATATATTTGTCTTATGGTCTGTTCTTTTCAGCTGCATTGTTGAACTGGTGCAATAAGTTAAAGTGAGACAAGTATATCTTTTCTCACTCTAAAGGCCATTCTACAATTGCGTAAGCGTGATTGTAAATGGTTGTAGATGATTACAATAACGATAATGTAATAATTACCATCAAAATAAAGCAATTAGTAAATAAAATTGGTCTAATTGGTTGATTCTTACGTTCACGACTACGCTTACGCAATTGTAGAATGGCCTTAACTTATTGCACCAGTTCAGCAACGTAGTTGAAAAGAACAGACCATTGAAATCTGTTCTTTGTAGCTGCACTGTTGAACTGGAGGTTGATTGGCTGCGTTCCGAAATTCACTGCCAGTACTGAAATTCTATAATTCATGTCACGTATACTATAGAATTTCAGCACTGGCAGTGAATTTCGGAATGCAGCCATTGTGTATCGCGAAACGGAGTGAAAATTACAAAAGTGAGCAAATTCACTAGGCATTAACCAATGAAGTTACAAATATTCTAATAAATTTGTTCACTTTTTGTTCACTTTGTTTTGAGATACACAATCAACCCTCTGGTGCAATAAATTGAAGTGAGACAAGTGGTCTGTTCTTTTTAGCTGCACTGCTGAACTAATGCAATAAGTTAAAATGAGAATAAAATATATTTTTTCTCACTCTAATTTATTGCACTAGTTCAGCAGTGCTGCTAAAAGGAACAGACCAAAGTATACCTGTTAGGTTATTTCATCTTTTATAAACTGTGCTATTTACTTCGTGAGTTATTTTATGATTAGCTTCATGTGGTGAATAATCTTGTTTTGGCGATTTTTATTGAATTTAAGCCGTCAAATAATTCGTCCACTGATTATCGTATATACAGGTAAATTTTGTTAAAATTTATATTATTTTAGCATATCATTCTTTTATCAGATTCTTATATCACGTGTAGTAATAATGCAATTTGCTTGATAAAACTTTGTAAAAATACTATAATTGTTAAGTACTTCGTGATATTGTGACAATTTTTTATTATAAATATGAGTACTACTAAGAATTTACGAAGAAATCAGTAATATTGTATCAGTAAAATTGAAATGCGGCATATGCGTTATTATGATGTTGTTACATGACAAACAAAATGTTTGGATAATTTAGATTATTCAAACAATATCCTACACTTGCTCTTATAGGTTTTCTCTCTCTCTTGTTCCATTCTGTTTATACCTTAGAGGTTATGATAAATTTAAGGTTAGATATAAGGATAAATTTAAGATTAGAGTGTAAGAATATTATTGATACAAGAAAAAAATTCTTTTTTTATTATATCAAATGATTTATATAGTGTTATTTATGCTGAATTAAAACATCTTTTCTATCACCTAAAGTTATCCAATGATCTGATTAGGTTTAAAAAAAATTAATTTTTTTTTGTATGTACAGACATGATTTAAAATGTAGAAGCTAGTAGTTTTACACTGTGTTTGGCTTATGGTATATCTAAATAAAAAAATATTATCAATCTTTATCATGTATCAAACTGTGAAAAAATTGTTAATTTTAATGAATTTTTATAAACAAATATATTGCTTAAATGGAAGAACTTTAAAAAATATTTAATATTGATAGTACTTTTATATATAAAATATAGAATTTAATCAAATTGTGAATTATATAGGATGTTCCATATATAGTATTTAAAGGAGAAGATGATAATATGAAATAGAACAATAATAAGAAATAAGCCTGATTTCTTAAACAATTGCTATTATTTGTTAATAACTGAAATAAACATCCATGAAGATCCTTATTGGCCACCAGAGGACTATTATTAGTGTAATATTAGTTTCTATCTTGTTAGTAATAAGATTAAACTTCAAAATTGCAGTTACTTGGAAATATTTTCTCTATTTTAAGATATTTTAAGATATTAAGGGTTTGTTTGGAAAATAGCAATGGGTAGTAATATGAAATAAGAAGTATCTCATTGTGTGTATCAAGTCATATTTCTATATTCTATGTAGTGGGTGTGAAAGTGATGGTTTTATTTACAACTTTTGTTTTTAGATCTTAAGTATTTTTATATAATTTGAATTATTAAGTTTAATTTTATTTGCAACTTTTGTTTCTAGATCTGAAGGATTTTTACATACTTTGAATTATTGAGCTTAAATTTCATAAGAATTTAAAAAAAATTTTTTTTTCAATTTACGATTTTTACATTCAAAAGAATTCAACAAAAACAGATAGAGAACAAAAATGGAATCTGACGTGAGTGCAGAAAAAAATCAAATGGATACGTTTGAGAAAGTCATGATGGATATCCAATTGACAAACGATAACAAGCTAATTATTAGCGACGATAGCACCGTGGCACCGGTGATAATAGAGGAATTGGACGAGAACGCTATCAGCTCGATGGACGTTGATATCAGCGAATTCGTCGAAGCCAAAGCGCTACAGATACAAGAAGTAGAAAATATAATTCCGAATTACACGCTTTCGCAATCGTGTAGTTCAAGTAAGAATCTTGCAATGGATACAGATCAGGATCAGGATATGTTACTCACTCCGGACGAACAGGACTCCGGTCGTCTGACGAAACAGTTTTTAGACGGGGAGCTAACATTCTGCGAATTTTCGTCGAAAATGGATCAGAACATTAATCTGGATATGTCGGAAAACGATGCTTCCAGGTACAAATGCACAGAGAACGAGACTTCTTTAAATTTACAATCAACTAGTTTAACTTTTCCGAACTCACTTCACGGTCTGTCAGACTCCAAAGCAACTATTTTTTCTGTTTTTCTATTAAAAGACGTCTCCAACTTTAACAAAAAGCAATGGTTTATGCCAAAAACAAACTTTTAACATTATATTTTTATTACATAGAAGTCGACTTTATAGGCTGTGGTTGATTCTGTTTTTTTTTTTTGTAGAGAATAAAATGAGTTTAGAAAGGCTAAACTATTTGGCGTTGCACGGATTTAATTAGAAGATTGTATTTTGTCTTGCTTTTAGAAAAAATGTCGAGACCGATCGGGTTGCTCTGGTGCAAAAGTTTGCCGAACCGAAGACAAGTAAAGCCAATAGTGGTCAGCAGGTGCGGCAGAGAAGGAAGAAACGTCTTTTGCCACAAGTTCTACAAGGACTCATGGGAGAAGCAAACGTGAGATTCGCGAAGGGAGAAGTAGATATAGCTGAGCAAATGTGCTTGGAGATTATTAGGCAAGTTTTTAATGTATATTATATCGAATTGCGTTTAATCCGAGTTTCCGCCGTTTGAGAAACTCTAATTGACGCGGCCTGCTCGAATTCATGCTTGATATACCGACATTGTTTCTCTAGACAAGTGCCGAGCGCTTCGGAACCGTTTCAAACGCTGGCAATGATATACGAGAATGATCAACCAAGAAGATCCTTGCAGTTTGCTCTGATTGCTGCGTATCTCAGCCCTAGAGGTGCTGAACAGTGGGTGAGATTAGCTTACTTGTCGCTGGAGAATAACGACATAAAACAAGCTATAGCGTGTTACTCCAAAGCCATCCAAGCGAGCCCAAAGAACATAAATCTGTACAATACACGGGCTCAACTTTACGAGAAGAATGGAGACAAGAAAGGCTACATACGTGGATACATGAAGTTGATTCAACAGTTAGATGCCGAGGACGGCAAATATATAGTGGAATATGCAATGATGTTAGCCAAGCATTATATTATGCACGAGGGCGACTACGAGCACGCGTTAGAACCAATGGAGATTCTCTTCGCCAAATGTCCTAATCTCATCACGTTGGAAGAGGTCAATGTCATGACCGAGGTACTAATACCGTTGAAACAGTTCAAAAAGTGTCTGAATATACTGATCAAGTATACGAGTATCCGAATACGATGCAAGGGCAACAGGGAGATCGGAAGAGAAACGGGAAATGCGTGTGACAACGCGAGACAACTCGAAGAAAGGGAACAGTCGAATAATTCGACAGGGGGAGTTTCGTGCCAATCGGAATATCAAGACATCGATGAGATAGAATTCTGCGACATTCCGGACGACGTGGCTGCCGACTTGAGAACGAAATGCCTCATATGTCTGATAGAATTAAATTATGTTCAAATAGCTGATGAATTTTTACCTAAATTGTATAACGAGAATCCGGAGAATTTCGGAGATCTCTTTTTGGACGTGGCAGAATCGTTAATGAGCAAGAAAGAGTTTCAGCGTGCATTGTTGCTGTTGGATCCTTTGGTCAAAAGTAAGAGTTACAGCATGGCCGGAGTCTGGTTGAAGCACGCGGAATGCTGCGCTGCCTGCAACGATTTGAATAAGGCTGTGGTATCTTACGAAGTCGTTCTGGATAGGACAGAACATTTAGGCGCGAAATTAGCTCTGGCCAAGATTTACAAGGACAAGGAACTTTACGACGAAGCGATACGAGTTCTCTATCAGGATCCCGAGCGCGAAACGTTGGATCCTTACGCGTTGTATCAGAGAATGTTGCTGCTGTACAAAGTTGGGAGATACGAGGAGTACCTCTCGTTAGGTATGTTGCTTATGTCTCGGCACTGCATCAGTATAAAAAGCAAAGTTGATCTAAAAGCTTTGGCGCGCCCAACCGGCGTTCGTCAGCGTCTTGAGGGTTTACGAAATTATCGTTTGTCGTGCGGGAAAACGATGGAAGACGAAAATGCCCCGACATTCGGCGACAGTGCAGAACCGAGTGAAAAGGATGAATTCCTGCTTTTTCTACAGATGTGCAAGCTAGCGTATAAATTGAAGAAATATGGCTCCCTTCAAAGAATATGCTTCACTGCTTTGACATCGAAGAGATTCAAGAAGAGGAATTCTCACATAATCTTTTTATGTTTGATCTCGTGCATTCACAATAACGATTCGTATTATGGGTACAATATTGTGCGAGAATTCGTGCGCGAGTGCCAAAGTTCAAATTCGTGGAACTTGCTGAACATCATTATTCAAAAAACAGAGGATTTGAGACACAACAGGTTTATAATGCGATTGCTCGGAAGGGAAGATGTCTTTACGTATTTGCATATCATGCATGCGAACAATTGTCTCGTTTCGGGAACGTACAAATACGCTTTGAATGCATATATTTCGCTATTCAAAGTAACACCGAGCGCATTGCTGGCATTGTTAATAGGTATAACGCATTTACAAATGGCATGTCAGAAGTTATCGTCCAAGAAGAATCAGCTCCTGATTCAAGGTAATTGTCCATTTTATGTAAAAATTAGTTAACATATCTTAAGGAATGATTCTGGTTTAAATAACCGAAAGAATAGGAAGTTTTTACGAATTTTTTTCAAAGAAGTACGGATAAAAATATCAAGATATAATTTTTATCATACTATTCATTTTTTAAAGTATAAAAAGTTTTTATTTAAAGTGAAATTTTGTCCAGATTTTTAGTGCTGAGCGCGGTATCTGTAAACGTCTTTAACTGTTGATAGGCAATATTACAATTCGTGTAATAACCCGAAACAATATAGGGCCAAAATATTTTTAAAAATTGTATTAAATTTGCCGAAAAATGAACTTTTGTTACATGCAGAAAGTCAAAATTTAATAAAATGACAGTACTTCGAAGTTACAAGTAATTTTTCTTTTTTCTTTTTTTTTATTTAATTATTTTTTATTTTATTTTTTATTTAATATCTCGGGAAAAATACTAATTTTGGATATTTCCCAAAGGATTCAGGTTTATCCTGAATTTAAAAATTATCCTGTATATATATATATATATATATATATATATATATATATATATATATATATTTAATACAGTTTTTAAATTTTCTGCTCTTATCTGTTTCAAGTAATTATACGAGCTGTGATGTTGCCCACTAATTAGCACACGCATATAAAAAACCTAGACGGAATTTCTATTAATTTTCGAATAATTTTTTTATATTTAAAACAATGATAAATAATATGGCAAAAATCTATTTGGATATCTTTAATTATTTCCTTGAAAAAGATTCATAAAAATCTATTTTTTGATTACTTAAATCAGAACCTTTTCTTCCCATTTAAAGAAATACCGACAAAATATAGATTTTTCTATAGAATTAACATCGTATTAGTTGTACAAAATTACAAATGCTTTTACACAATGAAAATATGTTGCACGTACTTTATGTAAAAGCATTTGTAATTCTGTATAACTAATAATATGTCAACTTTATAGAAAAAAGTCAATACTTTGTCAGTAAAATGTATAGCATCCCTTTAATATTTATATTTTTTGTCAATGTAAAATATGATACTTTTGCACTTGACTTTTCGTCTTTTATTTTTACACAGCTTTAGCCTTTTTCAAGAAGTACATGCAACTACGTGGCAAAGAAGGTCAACAAGAAAGCTATTACAACATGGCCAGAGCATTTCATCAGATCGGTTTATTACCGTCTGCGATCCACTTCTACAAGTTGGTTCTGGAAGAGGATCCAGGAGAATTGGTCAAACAGAACGCGAAATATTTGGATCTAAGAAAAGAAGCGGCTTTTAATTTACATCTTATATATATGCAATCTGAAAATCATCTTCTCGCTAGAATGTATCTCGAAGATTATATTGTGATTTGAATGTATTGTCAATTGAGATATCAAGACACCAACGAAATAAGTTGCTTTTAGCGAATATAATGGTTTTGCAACTGTTGAGTAAAAATAATTTCTGTTGTGTTCGCTGAATACATCATGTATTCTTTGAACATAACCATAGAATCTTGTGACATGTCGGATGATATAGCTGTTTATTTGAGATTGAAGTTCAGTGAAAGACTTCAGAAGAAACTTTCCAAATAAACACTATATGTACGACAATTTGAAGATTTGTGGAGATCTCCTGACGGAAATAACACAGTAGAGGCGTTAATAGGCAAGAATTTAATGAATTGTTTTTGATTTTTTGGTCAAAAGTATAAATTTTAGCCTACTTTGTATAAAAGCATTTATAATTCTGTACATCTAATATGTCAACTTTATAGGAAAAAAGACAATATTTTGTCAGTAAAATATTTACCTAATGTGGTCTACCTAAGACTTACAATATCGTTTCGCAAGAGAATACTCAAGTTGAAATATAATATAGAATTATCATTTAATATATGTATATATTTTTATTATTTTAATATATGTGTATAGTTTTGTTATTTTTACAAAGCGCACGAAAGTTATTTTTTAAATGAAACCACGTGTATTTATACTTCGATTTGTGTTATATTTAATTACAGATTAAAAATAACTGATATATAAATACATAATATTGCGTTAAATATATACATCGAGACATTTATATAAATTTAAAGATTTACTATGTCGCACGTAAATGGTTCAAGAGAGGAATAAATTTGGGATTATACATCTTCGACACATCATTTTTATGTTTATCTGTTATCGCTACACGTGATCAAGATATACCGTCACGAAAAACTTACCTATAAAATTAAATTATAATAACGGCACTTTTGATAATTTCACTCTTTAGGACAATGGCTGGTAATATTGGAACATTAATTACGTTTATGCAATTGTGTGATATTTTTGAAAAAGTTCGAGCATCTAGGTCAAAGAAAGAAAAAGTACAAATCTTACAAGAATTTGTCATGAAATGTAGAAATGATGCCGACAAAATGGAAAATGCACATGAGGGCGAATTGGTATGTACTATATGACATGTTAAAATATCTTACAGAAAAGAGAATACTACGTAATTTTTGTATTTGTTTTTTTTTGTAATAACATTTTTTATAAAAGTTATTAGATTCTACTTTAAAAAATGTGAAATATTAAAACTTATAATTACAAAAAAATTCATCTTTTGAAAAAAGATAAAAATGTTCGAAGCACGTAGTATTTTCTTATAAATATATAAATTTTCTTATAAAGATACAGTTATGACAATAAGTTGTACCAATTAAAGATGAAAAGACTGGAATTGAAAATATATTCAATTAAAAATAGCGATATCTCACAAGTTTAGTTATGATTAATTTATTTTTTTTGTTTTAGGACGAAATGATGTACCCAATATTTAGATTAATATTGCCCAACTTGGCAAAGAAAAAGCAGAAGGAAACACAATCTTCATTGGCAAGACTTTACGCACGTATAAATTCTTTACCAAAACAAAGCCGCGATTATCAAATTTTGGTAAATGACCGGTTGGTATTGTAATATTATAAAATTAATATTATAAAATTAAAATTATAATTGAGGTATTTTATTTATATTATAAATTATTTACAGTAGAAATCTCATTCCTATTCCTTATAAATTATTTACAATAGAAAGCTCATTTTTGTTCATTAATATAATTTTGCTTATATATACACTGAGGGAAAAATTACCTTAAAATCAACAAATATTTTTTTGATAGGTGCCATTAACATATTTATTTCAATTTAAATTCTCTTTATTTAAACCAAATATTGTTTACTTAAATCAGGTAAACAATATTTGATTTAAATAAAGAGAATTTAGATTTAAGTAAATATGTTAATGACACCCATCAACAAAATATTTGTTGAATTTAAGATAATTTTTCTCTCAGTGTACTCTCGAATTGGAGAACCCTTTACGAATTAACGTCATGATGATTAAGTTTATCATATATCAGTTTCTCTCACACACAGTCTCTTGCAAAATACGAAATATATTTCAGAAATTCTACATCAGATAGAATTGAGAGAAATGATTTCGCTGATCGAGCTTACTCGGTACTAAAACAATTGTTACCTTCACGTAGTGACAATATAACGATTGCGGACATAAATAGCTTCCTCGATAATATCAGCAATATCGACAATAAAGACGAAACGATGCAACAAAAGGTCGAAATGTTTAGGATTATTTTTAGGCGAATGACTGGACTCGAGATGAAGTGGTTAACGAGAATTGTTCTCAAAGATTTACAACTCGGCATAAAATCAGAGAACATACAGGATTGTTCGTAATTTTGTAGCAATACACACTATGGAATGTATCTTAATGTACTGAAAAGCTAATCGATGCATTGTTTTTAAGTTTTGAAAATAAAACAAGATGTGCAACTGTTTTCGCATTTTAAACCAATGCTCTTGGAGAGATTAAGTATCGACGACGTTCACAAACTATTTTCGACTTCGACAGAGTACTACGTACAAATTAAATACGATGGCGAAAGATCTCAAATCCATATGTCTCATGGAAGATACAAGTATTTCACGCGTAATGGATATGACATAACAAAGAAACCTCTATTAGGAGAGACTGCTTCATCCGGTAAGTTATAAGCAATTGAAACTCGTACACTGTGCAAAAAAAAGAAAATGTTGATTGAATACATTGAACAATCGATACACTTTTTACACTGAGAAAAAAATACTTGAAAATTTATTTGTGGAATATAAAGTATTTTTGTGAAATAAACTTTTATTCCATAAATAAATTTTCAAATATTTTTTCTCAGTGTATTCATTTTAAGAGCTGTAGCAGTTTTCAATATACAATATATTCACCAATAGGTTATTTGTCTGATAAATTTACACACGTTCTGGACCCGAATTGCTCTTCTTTTATCTTGGACGGAGAATTAATAGTCTGGGACAAAACGAAGAAAGCTCTGTTGACTAAAGGTATGAATGTCGATGTGAAGTCTTTAAAGGCTAACGGTCCTTATCGACCGTGTTTCGTCGCATTCGATATAATCATGCATAATGATGACTTGCTTCTTAATATACCTTACCATACAAGGCTAAAACATCTCCGCAGTTTATTAAATAAAGCGCATGGAGCTGTAACTGTGGGAGAAGCTACTGTTATTAACGATAAGTAAGATATTAAATTACTGATTACTTAGCTTCGATGTTATGTTTGTTTGAAGTAAATATATCCTTTAGAAATTGTTCTTATATTTTCTTTTTTCTCGTCTTGTCTAGTAATAAATCTATCTTTTTCTATTTTTACGTATTATGAATTTTTGAAAATTAATGTTAAATTGAGTAAAAATATACAATATACTACTATAAAAGTCACGAAGAGATTAACGAAGAGAAACGAATTAAATTAATTATTAAAGCTTTGATTTATTAATTGTTATTTATTTTTACTTTAAGAAAACGATTGGAAAATACATTTCGTTCTGAATGCCTCGAAGGAAGGGAAGAAGGAATTGTTGTAAAACGTTATGATTTCTTGTATAAACCAAATGTTCGGGATGGCGGCGGCTGTTACAAGATTAAAGCGGAGGTCAGTTATTCAGAGTCTTTTACAAAGCTTTAGTACACAGTTTAGATATGCCGAGTGAAAGAAAAAAATTGCAAACTTGAAATGAATCATGACCTTCTATTTGATTTTCACAATGAACAAAGAATCTAAAATCAGCATGTAACATGTAGTCGAACAAAGGAGAATGTTAAAAATAGGCTTTTTTGACGGAATTTTAATTAATCGTTGGAAACTATTTCTGTGATTTTTTAGGAACAGAAAATAAATATAATTATTTAATTATTTGTTCATCAAGTCTGAGGAAAGCTATGAAAATCGGGATTTATTATTGATTGTTGAAGTAATTATGTGCAATTTTTTGTATCCTTGATATAAACTTTGTATCCTTGATATGTCTTTAAAATAAAATCAGTTATATTCAATCCTTTTTATTCTTATATGCTAAGGGAAGTTTTTCCCATTTAAAATAAAAATTACTATTATTATTAAAATAACGTAAAAATAAGAAATACGATTTTTCTTTGCAGTATTCCAACAATTTAGTACAAGATTTAGATTTGATTATACTTGCCGGTTATTACACAAAAGACAAATGTAAAAAAAAACTTAACAGTCTTCTGATGGGCGCTGCTCTTCCAATGAGTAACGAAGAAGAGCATCCGTCATACTTTGAGGTGATTTTGTCTGTGAGCAATGGACTAAATAAGGAGGAGTGGAATTTTCTTGAAAAAAAATTTTCATCAAAATGTCTGGAGGAATGTCCTGCGAATATCATAAACTGCTCTAAAGTAAAGATTCTTTTATTAAATTGTATATAGATGTAATTACTCTCTCTCTCTCTCTCTCTCTCTCTCTCTCTATATATATATATATATATATATATATATATATATATATATATATATATATAATTTAATGCATGAGATAGATTCTTCGCCATATCCTTTCTGGCAATTTCTTTCTGGTAATTTACTGTTACTAAGCAATTACACGATGAAATTTCTTACAGAAACATCAGCCGGATGTGTGGCTTCGTCCGGAGGATTCTATAATTTTAACGATACGAGCTACCGAGATGGTACCTAGTGATAAGTATCCGATTGGATATAGTTTTCGATTCCCTAGAGTTACGAATGTCAGAAAGGAGAAGCCTTGGTATGGTGTATGCACTACTCAGGAAATTTTGTCTTTGGTCAAGGTAAGTATTTATAATGACTTTCAATTTATGATCAGTTATGTTATTTATATTACTTGTTTATGATTTCAATCATTATAGAAGGAAAAAACGATCCATAAGTTAATTAAGATAGGAGCTACTCTACATAGTGACGAGAAATTATTTGAATCACCAAAACGTACGTCAAATAAGCCAAGGACACGGGCACTAGCTCAAAGTGAAGAAATTACACACATTGCATTTGAAAGGAAAGTAATACATACGCGACTATTAGAAGGCAAAGAAATTTGCGTAATAAACGGAACCGAGGATTTTTCGAAAGAAGATATTCAAGAAACATTGAAATGTCATTGCGCAAAAATTGTCGAATATCCGAAGTCCACAACTTATTGTACGATAGTAGGCAACACGACTACGGTAAAGTGTACATCACACAGCGATTTCATTTTGGTTTGCGAAACATGTGTAGTCTATAATGCATTGACTGTGTACGACTTATCTCGTAGCTGGCGTGCAAAATTAATTCTGTGTATCGCACACGCCAACTACGAGTTGACTCACACAAATTTTTTTTATTTTGGCAAAATAATATAATTAATTGGCATATTAAAATTAATTGAAATTGATTAACATATTACTGGGTTAATGTAATAAATAATTACGGATTTCTCAAGCATAATGAAATGATTGTATTTTTATGTAGCTATAATTTTGTGAAACACATTATATGCGAGGAATGACAGAAGATCATAAATCAAAACGGCGCGCGTCCGCGCGTATACATTGCTTCGTGAAATTATAACAATGTAAAAATACAATCATTTTATTTGAAAAATCCGTGTGTAATTACTTATTATATATTCCAATAATATATACATATTAATTAATATATTAAAATAAGATATTGATTTTAAAATGACGTTGACAATAGAGTTTTTTAACATAATTGTGGCAGTATTAAGGGACGTGGGCAAATTATCTTTTCAGCTACGAGCGTTCGACACTATAAAGAATCACGACAATGTAGTATCTTTTGATTGGTTTCTACGCATTAGCAGTGATCCCAAATCGTCGATTTCTTTTCAACCGTGGGAGTTGTTGAGCAAACTGAAAAATCCTCCTGACCCACCTGAGGAGTATGATAAATACTTCGATTATTATCACCATGATGCGACTGCGTTAACTTTGAAACATTCGTTCGCCAGGATCAACGAATTAGTAATATTAAGAATATTTCAACGAAGATGTATGAGGAGTACTTATTCAGTACTCTTCATACTGAGTGAGTTCACTGCTTATTAATTTTAAGTTTGTATCAACTATTTTCAGGGTCTTGATGCGGAATTTTCGCAGTATTCTCGTGAAATGTCGTCCTCTTATACGTTCCGAGGTATAAATGGATTCTTCAGCGAAAAAATGACCTTCGAGCAACTTATATTTGGTGATCAAGAAGGTAACATTAAAAAAAATTTCGATAATTCCGTTACGTATGTCTTCGTAAAAGATAAAACTAATCATATCGCGAGTGACTTGAAAATGTACGAACAAGCAGGAGTAAAAATTGTCAAATCTGAGTGGATCATCGAGTGTTTCTTTCACGACAAATTCCTCAGTGTTGAAGACTACTTGATTGACTTGAGTAATTAATATATTGTTATCTGAAACAGTAAATAAATAAATATATCAAATATTGTGATAATATGATAAATAATGTATATAATACGAAAATGTTTAAAATAAATGTACCAAACATTATGTATAATGTGAAAATGTATTATACTCTCTACAAAAGCTTGCGATATTCATGGAATCGTCTTAGCTCACACGCATTCGTTAAACACTGAGAAACTGGGTACTAAGTGGAGTGACAGTCGGACAGTTCGCTCATTTAACATCTTCCCGTTTCGAAATATTTCTTCTTGACTCGCGGCCCGCCACCCTTGCTCATCTCGTTTTATTTCATCGGAATGCGCGCAAAATACGAAGCGAAAGAGACGCAGCTGCGACGTTTCTCTCACAAAGCCCGCCATTCAGAAAGAGCTCACGTATACAACGTGAAAAGCTCACGCGGCAAGATTTTATTAGATTTACCATGTTAAAAGTGAATAAAGTATACTTTTATCTCCGAAATATTTTGATCTGATATTCAATCTTTCCGTCGCTCCATCTTTGTGCGTATTGTTTTTTGTAACAACAAGATGGAGAATAACTTTTAAATGGATAAGGAAATATATAGGGAGATATGATAACAAAGATAACGAAGAAATATACTTCATCGACGTATTCGATCGTCAAGTTAGATTTCGACAGAAATGAGTATTTCTGTCAAAAGGAAAAGTCGACTGATATTCATACACACAGAATGAAACGCGTGAAGCGTGACAGGTGAATATCTTCAGGAATATTGAAGACATAACGAAATTTTATCTGGTAACGTTAAAGTGTTTTAAGAGTTACATCTTTTGGATATATTTGTTTTTCTCTATATGATTGCATTAGGATTTTTTGTAATAGAACTATACTTTTAAAAATACGCAATTGAAATGAATATTATAGTTCTTTTTTTTCATATGATTCTTTTTTATATTTTTTTTCATATGAATTCTTTTTCTTTTTAATAAGTTTTTAATAGTACAGAAATAGACTATCCGTTTATTTTACCAAGGAATATAATAAATTTTGCTAGAAATATGATACATTTTTTAATAGCACACTTTAGTTCCTAAAATATAAATAACACACATGAAATAAAGGAACAGTTAATTATTGTAGAATGTCGATTTATTCTTCGGTTACAAAATTCCATAGTAATTTCTACTATAAAGTTCTCTCATGCATATCGAGACAAATACATAATACTTAGTGCATTCATAAGATTAAATAAAGAAAAATAAATATCCAAAAGATACAAAACGTCTGCTTAAAACATTTTGATTTTGATACAATTTTCTTCTGTTATCAATATTTTTTTTAAATTTACTGTGAGGCACTTTACGTGCCTCACTCTGCGCATGTGAATACTTTATTATTGATTGTCAATGAAAATCGGGCTCGTCGGAGATTTTAACTCTTTCGTGAGATCTCGAATATATTACATATTGTACACACATCAGTTAAGTCGAGCGGCCATCTCGTTAGCAAAGAGGAGGTGTCTCGTCTACCAGGTCAGTATAAATAATATACGAATATGACTGACGTTCTGCCCGCGCGAGAGATCTACTTATAGACTCTTCACCTACAGATGGGACGCGTATTAATCGAGTTTCAGATTTTCGGAACGTCTGACCAAGCGTGTCACTCTTTGCGGTACGTCCGATTTATTCATAGAATCTAGTAGCTAACTTAGCAGTTGCCAATTATACATGGTTACTCGTAACTATCGTTTATCGCGCTCCACGATTACACGTAATGTCATTCCACGTAATAGGCATGTAGAAATGCTTCAAGGGAAGGCTCTAGTTTCTAATAGTAGAATAGTTCCTAATAGTCGAATAGTAGAATAGTTTCTAATAGTAGAATAGTTTCTAATAGTCGAGCAAATAAGAGATCTTTATGAGTTTTCTCAAAGAAATAAATAAAGATATCAATACAGGATTTTAATCATACCATTCATCATTATTTTAAGTATAAAAAAATTATTTTTCATAAAGAAATTTCGTCGTCCAGGTTTTCGTTCTGAGCGTGGTGTTGTCGGATACCTCTAATTGATGGATAACATTATAATTCGTATAATAATCTGAAATAAATGCGACAAAAAATTAAAAACTATATTAAATTTTCTGGAGAATGAACTTTTATTATATACAGAAAATCTTGAAATTTGAACTTTGGAATTATAAAATATTGTTCTCTTTTTCTTTTTCATTTAGTGTGTCGGTAAAAATACTAATTTTGGAAATTTTCCAGAGGATTTAGATTTATTTTTTAGCAAATGTAATACAGTTTTTAAATTTTCTTATTTAATTTGTTTTATATTGTTACACGAACTGTGATATTGTCCATCAAATAGAGGTATCCGACGACATCGCGCTCAACACAAAAAACCTGGATGGAATTTAAAATTTTTTAAAAACAATTTTTTTAATGTACTTATGACAATAATAAAAAGTATGGTAAAAACCCTATATCGATATTTTTACTGATTTCTTTGAAAAAAATTCGTAAAAATCTTCTATTTTTAGCTATCTAAACTAGAATCTTTTTTTAACGCGATTATTTCGCGAATCGTCGACGCGTGTGACTCATCAGATTCATAGCGTATTGCTAATTGAAACATGCACCTTAATCGCGAAGAATTAATTTTGCTATGATAACGAATCGAAATGCACATCAAAAGAATAATGTGCTTATTACTGTGGCGGTTCCAAATTTTATCATGCGAAATACGATTGAATTTCATGATTCATTATAGAGGAGTGCTTGATTTCTGTATCATTGATACAAGAAACTCAGGAATGGAATTTTCATCATTCGTTATCTTCGAGTGATCACGCGTTTCGTTTTTGCAATGTCCTGCAATATATTTATACTTGTTCTTTGATATGTATCGGCAGCGGCTAAAATTTAAATATAATTTTTAGCGATTATAGATATTATTAAATTATAGAGATATTAACACTATATATATATATATATATATGTATATATATATATATATATATATATATATATATATATATATATATATATATTATTATATATAT